CTCGCCCGAGGTCTGCGGGCGCTGGCTCGCGGCGTAGATGTACCTCACGGCGTCCAGCGGCCTCCGCTCCGTGAGAAGCACCCGCACGACCATCGAGTCCGCCCGCAGCCGCAGCAGCATGTCGACGCCCAGCTGTCGGTACTCGCCACCCATCGACAGCAGCTCCATCGCCGTGGGCACCTGATCCGTGATCATGCCGGGGAGCAGCAGCCGGTGCAGCGGGCCGCAGTCCAGCTCCGCGGCCCGCAGCAGCCGAAGAAGTAGTCGCTGCAGGCCGTCTATTAGAGCTGAGCCGCTCCTCATCACGCAGGAGGCGTACTCAAGCAGAGCATAGAAGAGGTAACGTGCGAAGTACACGCGACCCCGCACACTGCAGCCCTCTTTTGAGGCGTGCGCGTCGTCGTCGTCGCCGTTGCCGTCGCCGTTGTCGTTGCCTGTGGCTGCGGCTAATGAGAGTGCCGTGGCGGCGGTGGTAGGGGTTTGCCCCACACTTCCCTCAGTGACGCCCGCTGCAGCAGCAACGTCGCCGTGGCTCGTCGCGGTGGGAGGTGGGACGAGAACCGCCTCCGCCAGCGGGGCGAACACCGCACGCTGCATCACGAGTTGTCCGAGGCGCGCATCGGCAACGGGCAAATCGGGACAGTCGCCGCCGCCTGCGGCTCGAGCACCCGCGGATGAGGTCGTGCACGTGCCAAGAACATCCTGCAGAGTCACGCCGCCCCAACGGCGCCATGGCGGTGCAAGCGGCAGTGGGCCCTCGTCGTCCTCGGCAGGCAGGCATCGCCGTAGCGCCGCAGTGGAGCCCAGAAAACAGGCATCTTCACGGCCCTGCGGCACTTTGGCGGCAGCAGCGTCAAGGCATGCGGGGTCGCGCGTCCAACTCGGAGTGTGTGTCTTCCACTTCTTCTCGCCGTCCCCTTGCAAGGCCTGCAGCAGCTGCTGCGTCGCGTGATGGGTGGCGATAAGCTCCAAGGCGTGGGCCACGCGGTTGAGGCTTTCCTGCCGACTGAGCATGCTGTGCAGCAGCGACTGGACGGCGTCGCCGGCACAGTGCAGTCGATGCAAGTAGAAGCGCACACGCTGCGAGGTGCACGGCATGGTGGCGGCAATGGCAAACGGGTTGACGCCCACCAGATGCACCGCGCCGCCACGGCGGTCCAGCAACAGCGGCAGCGTCCCAAGCAGAAAGGAGTGCGAGTACAACGCGTCCCTCTTCACGGCCGTGGACGCAACGTCAGCAGGCGGTGGATGCGGCATGAGCGTGGCGCTAAGCAGCGGCTGCCAAAGAGGGAGGCCGGAGTCGTTGCTGCGGCGACGGCCACCATCGCTGGCGGCGCCGTGCCCCTCCCCGCCACGGAGTCCACTGGCGAGCCGCGTGATCCACGACGCCGACCCCTCGCGCTCCGAACCGGGCCCCCGACAAAGGCCCCTGCCGCCGCACCGCGATTCCTCCGTCGCAGCAGTAGCAGCAGAAGGAGAAGAAGAAGAAGCGGCGGTAGATGCCACATCTGCCGCCACTGCCTCCGACGTCGCCGGCAGAAAACTGCCCTGTACATCCTGATGCTCCTCCCCACCACAGGCGACGTCGAAGGCGCAGGAAAGCCCTTGCCGCAGGGCATGCAGGACGAGGAGGTTGTCAACCACCTGCAGGGCCACAGGCTCTCGTCGTGGGTGCAGTGGGAAGTCTGCGCGCAGCAGCGCGTGCCGCACAAACCCTTCTTCTCCGCCGCTCTCGGCAGACACGTAGCGAAAGAGCACCGCCCCTCCGTCGTGGCGTGAGACGCTGCAGAGGAAGAGCTGACGGTAGAGAACTAGCAGCCCGACAGGGTACTGCACGCGGGGTATGTCCATGCAGGCGGGGGAGACAAAGGGCGACGCTGGCGCCTCCTCCTCCTCCGCGGCGTCCCAGTCCCGGTCGCTGCCGCGGTCAACCTCCTCCTCTGGCAGCCGCACCGCGGGCAGCGGTCGCAGGCCCTCATCGTTCACCTCAAACGTCTTCAACACCTGCGGCTTGAGGCGGTTAATGGCGAGGAACACCCTGGCGGGGGGGCAGTAGTGCCAGTAGTCCGTGTGCGTCGGGAAGCGTTGCAGCAGCACGCAGGGTGGCTGCTCGCGGCTGCCCCGCGTGTCGTCCGCGCCGCACGGCAGCGGCGCCGCGTCCACGCCCACCACGTCGAGGCTGATGGTGGTGACGCAGAGGAGGACGCGGCGGCCGCAGGCGGCGCCCGGGAGAAACCGCGTGGGGGACCGTCGGGGGGGGCCGACGCCGTCGTCGTCCCGCGCGCCGTGCAGCTCCTCCGCCCAGTAGCAGGCCTGGACGGGGTAGAAGTCGTCGCGGAAGCGCAGGCTCCGCGGCGTGCACTGAAACTTCGCCAGGGCGCACAGCGGCGCCGCCCCCGCGCCACCGTCGCAGCGGAAGAAGAGGACGCTGCGTGTGTCGACGCCGAGGGCCACGAGGTACGCCCGGCCGCCGCCGCCGCCGCTGTGGAGCGGAATGGGGCAGCGCTTTGCGTAGCGGATGCGGAGCGGCGCATCGGCGCCGTCGCCGTCGCCGCGCCGCACCGTCAGCGCAACGGCGTCGGCGGGCAGCGCGGGGTGGTGGCGCACCCACGCCGCGTCCTCGTCCTCCTCGTCACTGCTGCCTGTCGCCGCCACCGCCGCCGCCCCAGCGCGCAGCCGCAGCTGGTAGAAGCAGACCTGCCGGCCATCCCCGCAGAAGACGACGGCGTCGTTCGCCACCTCGTCGATGCAGACGCGCGTGACGCCCGCCGCCCCGCCAGCCGCAGGCGCGCGGAAGCGGAAGACGGGCCTTTGGAACACTACGAACGGCGGGACGGTGGAGACGTCCGTCATTGCGCCTCCCGCCCCCCACACACACCGCCGGTCCGCCTCCTCCTCCTCCTGCCGGGCGTGCACGCAGTCAGGGAGGGGGTAATAAAAAAAAACGAGGGAGAAGCAGAAGAAAAAGCAAAAAAAAAAAACTTGAAGGAGGTTTTCGCTTCACACGCCCCCTCCCTCCCTCTCCTCCAACTGGCAGTCAAAAAGCAGTCATAATGATAACGTTTCTCCTCGGTCTTGAGCCTTTGCTTCTTCTCCTTTTGTCGCTTGCATTTCCGCATATTTTTTCAACGAAACACGGCCCTCACACACGCACACGCATACGCACGCCCTCCCTCCATTCTCTCTCTCTCTCTCGGTGTGTATGTGTGCTGTCGCGGTTAGTAGCCGAGCTCGCGGCGCAGGAATGACTTGGGGCTTGTCAGCCACGCCATGTCGTAGCTCTGCGCGCTCATGATGGAGTAGAGAAAGAGCATCGAGCACGTCGCCGGGGCCGTCATGGTGTGGAAGAGGATGTCAAAGACTACCGACGCCACGAAGATGGTGGTGAGGAGCGGGAAGGCGGCGTAGAAGCGGCCGACCATGTAGCAGCCGCAGCACCAGAGGAAGACCTGGAAGGCGCCGGGGGTGCGCCACTTGACCCAGCTCCAGTACCGCGGCATCTCGTCCACGTTGCGGGCCATCCACTCCGGCAGGAACTTGTAGTAGACGTACTGCGTGTCGCTGACGAGGTTGCGGTAGCGGCGGTCCAGCGTCGGGCTCCGCGTGATGAGCTCGTAGGCCTTGTTGACCTGGTTGAGCCGCGGGATGTTGCCCACCCCGCGCGGGTCCAGCTCCGGGTGCAGCTCCCGCATCAGCTCGTGGTAGCGCAGCCGAACCGCCTGAGCGGAGGCCCCCGGCCGCACCCCGAGCACCTCCCACGGGTTGTACCCCGCCGCCGCTGCCGCCGCACCGCCGCTGCCACCGCCGCTGCCACCGCCACTGCCGCCACGCAGCACGTCCTCCTCGCGGGGCTTCTGCGCGTGGCGGGACTCGTCAATGTCGGCCGGGACGCTGCCGTAGGGGGCGGCGCCGCTGAGGCGGCGGCGGGAGATGCACAGCGGCCAAACCGCGGCGCGCCGCGTGGCACGTATCGCGTGCAGGACGCCAATGGCGGGCGGCAGCCGCGCCACTCGCCGCATGCCTCCGCTGAGCACCCACGCGCACACTCCCTCTGCCTCTGCCCCTTCCTCTGCCTCTGCTTATCTTTCTCTCCGTATTCCTTCCTGCCGCTCCCTCGCAAAGGGCCCCGTGCGTGGGCAGAAGAGAAGCAACAACGGCAAACACGTGGGCCACACCCGCAGACACAAGCAGCCGCACGGCACAGGCGTGTGCCACGCAAACACTCACACGCACCTCCGCCGCTGCCACCGCCCTGCTTTGGCTGCTGCTGCTGTTGTTGTTTTTTACGCGCGGAGGGGAGAGGCCGCTGCCACGGAAGCAACACACACACGCTAACAAGACGAAGAACAACAAAAAGCCGAAGACACGGGCACCCAACGTTTAGGCCTCGTTCGCTTTAAAATATTTATGCGTCCACCGCGCTGCTGCGCTTCATCCCCTCCCTCACAAGTCTTCGTCGCTCCTCTCTCTCTCACACACACAGACACAGACACAGACACAGCCACAGACACAGAGAGACTCCCCCGATCCCCCCCCCTCACATCACATCACATCACAAAGGCCCAAAAGAGGAGGTGCAGAAGAAAGTAGACCCCCACAATCACCTCCGGCACGAGACAGAGGAGCGTCGCCCAGAGCAGCGTGCATATCACCGCCCACAGCCGCGTCGCCATCCCGTAGAGAAACACCACAGCCACAAACAGCGCCAGCGTCAGACCCGTCCGCGCGGGTGTCGTGTCGCGCGTGCCGCCAACCGTCAGTGCGCGACGCAGCGGTGGCAGGCGTGGAAGCAGGATGTACCCCACCAGCGCGGTCCCCGCGTGGTGCAGCAGCGCAGCCGGGTGCAGGATGCTACCCCACGACCCCTGGCGCAGCTGGCCGTAGTACGCCGCCAACCGTGGCTCCTCCATGACAAGCAGAGTGTGAGTGAGACTCACGATGGAGCACTGTGTGTCGGGCACCGCCGCCGTGGGGGGGACGCAGACCTTCAGAAAGACAGAGGCGTTCACCGCCAGCGCCCCACCGCTCCCGCGGCTGTCGCGCAGATAATCATGCACCGTGTGCAGGTGCCGACGCCCGTAGCGGGCGAAATCGGCGGCCAGCATCGCATGCGCCCGCTCTGCAGCTGTCGCGTTCACCTGAAAGACAATCTCCGCGAGGCCGCCCTGCCTGCCACCCCGGCCCCCGTTCAGCAGCGCCGCGAGTGGGACGGGGGCCCCGGCAAGGATGGCGCTGGGACGCCTCGGCAGCGGCGCCGCGCCGCCGAGAATGTCGCGCAGATTGTACACAACCAACTCGAACTGCAGGTACGGCGCGGCCCCGCGCTGCACACGCGGCGGCTGCCAGTGTCGCCAGTAGAGTTGCAGCGCACTCCACGCCGCGGTCGGGCACAGGGCTGCGAAGCGCCACTCCCGCGGCACCCTCGGCGCCGCGTAGAACGGCACGCGCAACGGCTCCAGCAACGCACTGTGGTCCACCGGCGGCCGTGTGGCGGGCGGGAAGAACCAGAGCCCCGTCAGGTCCCCCGCCATGAAGTACGTTGTGTCCGCCAGCAGACAGCCGCGGCACTCGGTCGCGATGCCAGGCACCGCGAAGAGAATCTCCTCCACTGTGCTGAAGGAGCGAATCGGTGGGAGGCGGTCGTCGCTGAACGCGCCGTCTAGCTGGTCGCCAGGGAACAGGTCGTCCGCGCCACGCTGGTCGGCGGGGATGCGAACCCCCACAAAAGTGTCGTTGTAGCGGTAGACAAACTTGTGCCACCGCATGCTCTCCGGCCGCGCCATCACGGCGGAGAGGTAACTCACAAAGTCGGAGCGGTAGAGGCCGCCGTGCCGCAGGAGCAGGTGGTGGGCACTGTCCAGGCGGTGGTGTTCCACGATGCTGAAGCTGTTGATCAGGGCCACGTTGTGCGGCGCCCGACGACGGGCACCAGCAGCAGTCACCCCGTGCGCAGGCCACGCACTCGGCGGCGGCACGACGGCGCCGGGCTCGTTGAGTGTCTCAGAAACAACTGCAGGAAGCGGCAAACGCATGTCGGCCGCATAATAGCCATCCTCCCCCTCCTCCTCTTCCTCGTCGGCGTCCACCTCCTGCTCCCCCACGCGCTCGTGCCACCGGTCCCCGATGAGCTCCACACCAAACTCGACCCCGTGGCGCCGCACATCCGCCTCACACATCAGCAGCGGCCGCCGGGGCGTTGCATCCGCCGCCCACGGCAACGATGCCGCCGCCTCCCCGACAGCAGGCGGTTTGCGGAGATGCAGTCGGGCCAACGTCGGGTGCACCTCCACAACGAAGGAGACGGACGTTTTCCCTCTTGTGTGGCTGTCCTCTGCGAGCACCCCACGAAGTGTAACGCGGAGCAAGCGTGACAGGTACAACTTCCGCTGCAGCAGCTCGCTGTCCTGCTGCTCGTCGTAGTCGGCGCGGCTCAGCATCTGGAAGGCCGGACAGGGGGACAGCTGCAGGTACAAGTGCTTCCTCGTCGCTAGCGACGTGGCCACCCGCATCCCGGCACGCATTTGCTGCAGGCACGGCAGCAGCCCCACCTCAGGCGCCGCGTCGGTGAGGCCGGTGCTGTTGGGGTTGTGCACCTCCTCCAGCACGACGCGGTCCGCCAGGGCGGCGTCGGCGCCGGTGAAGGTCGTCCCACTCACGTTGACCTGAATCAGAGGGACGCCGCCCTCCACCTCGCACTGCTTGATCGCCGCCGGGGTCGCCCCCACCGCCGGGGCGACGTCCACCACCTCCACCCGGCCAAACAGCACAAGCGCGTCCGCGTCGCCGGCCGCGGAGACGTTCGTCCCGCACAGCACGTCCTTGTGCACCGCGGTGCGGAGGAAGAGGTTGTGCGGCACCGTGAACGGGTCATACCGCGGCAGCGTCAGACGCACTGCGGCGACGTCCTCGTCAAGGACGCCCTTGTAGAGCCGCAGGACCCGCTCAAAACGCTCCGCCAACGTCGCCTGCGCCGACACGTCAAGCAGCTTCGTTTGCTGCTGCTTCTCGCCCCCCTGCCGACGTCGCGCCCGCTCAATCTCCTCCAGCTGACTCTTTGTGATGCGGCGACGCGCGAGGGCGGCCTGCAGGTCCGTGCGCAGCCCTGTCACGTCGATGCCCTCCCGCGTCCAGCGGTACTCCCGCTGCAGTCCCGCCAGCTGCTGCTCAATCACGTCAAGCGGCACCAGCCGCTGCTCCTTCGGCGGCACGCGGTGCTGCTGGCGGCGGCGCAGGCTGGCCTCCGTGTCATCCAGCCGCGGCAGAAGGTGGGCGAGAGAGGCGAAGAGCGGCTCGCACGCCACGGACTTCTCCCGCACAGCCGCAACGTAGTCCAGCCACTCCCGCGCGGTACGCCCCTCCACGCCATCCGGCCGGTTCACCTCCGTCCAAAAGTTCAGCACGTCGGCGCCCCGGGCAATCCCGCGGACGCACTTCGCAAGCAGGCTGTGGCGCCGCTGCCGCCGCTGCTGCTGCTGCTGCTGTCCCCAGTCGGGCGGGGCAGCGTGGACGTAGCCGCCCGCCTGCCTTGGCTGCGCGGTGTCGAGGCGAAGCAGCACGGTCACCCCCCTGCCCTCTTCGCTCACGTCCAGCTCGGAGGCGACTGTGTCGGGGACCCCCAGCAGACTTAGCATGGGCCGCATCGCCTGCTCCTCGCGGGCCAACGTGGCCGCGTTGAGAAATGGCAAAAATGGCACAATCTCGCCACCGCGAAAGAGCGGCCTTCGCGCCGCGCCGGCGTCGCCCCACGTCGTCGCCCCATCAATGATTTCGCTCGTCATAAAGTCACCGCCGTGGGCGCACGCACGCGAGGAGCCAAGTTGCTCCTGCGCCAAGAATATATGATGCAGGACTTCCTTCGGGTGCAGGTGTCTCGCGGCGGCCACCGTGAAGGAGACGCAGCGCCGCGCCGCATCCGCGCGCACGCTCGACCACCGCGTGCTGCGTGCGACCCACCACGGCAGCGAACACCCCCGCGCCGCAAGTCGCGCCGCGCCGGCCTTCACAATCGCCTCGAACGAGGCGGCGTCAACGAGGCGGGCCCCGAACGAGGAGGCGGAGGAGGAGGACCAAAGTCCGCTGCCTCGCGCGCCCTCCGCGTGCAGGCAGATGGAAATTTGTCCGTCCCCGGAGTAGGCGTCGCACTCGTGGCTAAGCGTCGTGTTTGCGGAGAGAAAGGCCGAGACGCGCTCAATTTCAAACTCCTGGCGCCGCACATACGGGCATCGCTTCGTCAGCATTGGGCCAAACAGACGAAGCGAGGGGTGAAGCTCGTACCGCAGCTGTGTGGGGCCGACTGGGAGGTTCGTCACAGTCACAACTTGGTAGCCCGTGCCGCTTGTGTTCGCCACGGGGTCAACGCGAAGGCGCGGGCCACGCAGCGGCAGCGGACCGGGCGCCGTCCCCGTCTCCGCCAGCGTCCACTGCAAGGTGGAGGTGGTGGCGAGGATGTGCACGCTGTGAGACAGCGTCACGAGTCGGTTGGAGTGCAGGTTCTCTGTCAACACCAGCAGACGCACCGTTGCGAAGTCCACCAGGACGTGCCGCCGCTGCTGAGCCGCCGCCGCCGCCGCCGCCGCGCCACTATCGGGCGCGCTGGGGTCGGCGGGAGGGGCGGCGTACACGGCCCAGCGAACCGTGAGAACGCCAAACGGGAGCCCGTGCACCACGGTGCGTGGTCGCCGTCCGTGCTCAAAGCGGATGCCAGTGAAGTTGGTGCCGCTGGTCCACGTCTCGGTCTCCGACGTCTGCAGCGACACCACCTCCCACTGGCCAAAGAACTCGCACCCAACCTCGCGCGGGATGGGCACGGCCCGCAGAAGCGTGGTGTCGCCGCACACCGTCAGCTCCGTGTCGAGGACCTGTGCGTGCACCACGTGCAGCGTCTCCGTGAGGCTCGCGTGCGGGCAGGCGCCCGGGTACGCGGGATCCGGGTGGGTGTAGCCAAACGTGTACAGGCCAGGGACGCGAATGCCAGACACCAGCACGGTGGCGTCGCCAAAGCCCCTCTCAAGCGCGCGCGGGTGCCGCGGGAGCGGCAGGAAGTGAACGGCGTCTAGCAGCCGCTGGGTGCCCACCGACGACGGCACCGCCGGCACGACGCTGACGGCGGTCCAGTTCGAGCTCCGCCCCTCCACCGCGGCGTCGACGTGGAGGATAATTTGTTTCCCGACGACCCACCGCGTCCGTGTTCTTCGCGGTGGGGCGGCGGCGTCCGCGGGGGCCGTCGGAGTGGGGCGTGCCGTGCCGTTCGCGAAGCACTCCCCCGCCGCGGCGTTGTCGCTCAGAATCGCAAACGTCGGCGGCAGCGGCGTCGGGTACACGCGCCGCAGCAAAAAGGCCTCCGTCCGCGCGGTCTCCGTCAGGGCGTTGCGCACCGTCAGGCTGCACCGCGTCTCGTTGGCGGGTCCGCCGTGGCGCAGGACGGAGAGCGTCGGGGTGTGCCGCTCCACCGCCATCGCGCCGCCGTCGCACACCCACGTGAAGTCGAAGTGGTACTTCGTGTGCAGCCACGAGTGGCGTGAGAAGACAAACGACGGGTGGCAAAACGGCAGTACGCCCGTCTCCGTGGCCGGCACCGCGCCGCGGGGGCTCACCGCGAAGACGGAGAAGTTGCCAGGCTGCAGGACGCAGAGGCCGCGCCGCGCAAACTCCGCCGCCTCCCGGCTCGGCCCCGCCGCCGTCGGCGAGGACCGCACCTCGTACAGGAGCGGGTAGTGGGAGCTGTCGCCGAGGCCGTCAAGCCGCACCTGCCGCGGGGCGGGGCGGTGCGTCAACGCAAAGTGGGAGTCCGCCAGAAGGTCCATGGCGTCGTCGTGCTCGCGTGCCGCGCGGGACGTCTCCCGCGCCCACGCCGCGGCCTCCGCGTTGTACGGGACGACGTCCTTCTCTACAAGGTTACTATTACGATTATGACTATTAGCATTACTGTTAGGGCTCGCATCCCGCGTGCTGGCGGCGCCACCGCCATCGCCATCGGCGGCGGGTCGAGCAGAGCGGCGGAGGAGCAATGGTGCCGCGGCGACGGCCTCGTCACTCAGGCCGTCATCGCCCGCGCGCTCAAAGTGTCGCTGCGTGACCCCCAGCTGGTGGGCGGCGTCATGGCGGTAGGCGAAGCTGACCGCAAAGTCCTGCTGCAGGCCGGAGTAGTTGAAGGAGTAGCCCAGCGTCGCAGCATGCCCCGCCACGGGAACGACACGCCGGGCGGTGAAGCGTGGCGGCTGCGTCCCCCCGCTTCCCTCCACCTCGCCGTCGTCGTGTTCGTCGAGCCACTCAATCGACGGCAGCGCGTACACGGGGCGAGGAACACCGCGCGGTTGCTGCAGGCCGTCCTTGTGAAACAGCAGCTGCGGCGGACGCTGGCAGCGGCGCAGGGAGAAGGTCTGCGTGACGGCCCCGACAAGGTTCCGCGCCGTCCAGACGACATCACACCACCTGTACACCGCGACCCCGCACACCCGCACCTCCTGCACCGCCGCCGCTTCCTCTTCGTCCTCCGCCGCCGCGGGGGCAGAGGCGTTGTCCTCCGCACGCCGACGCCGCCGCTGCCGCCGCTCCTGCGCCACGAGGTACGGCGGTGACTGCGCCGCCTCCGCGCAGCGGGGGATGTGCCAGCGGGCGTCCTCGTCCTTGCGGGGGGAGCGCGGCGCGGACAGCCGCACGCAGCTGTCCTCCGTGTAGACAGGCACGAGGGCCGGCGCAATGGGCGGCGCCGCGAGGGCTACCACCGTCACGGTGTGCTCCACCAGCCGCGGGGGGCAGCGGGAGGTGTACGGCACGCCGAGGTCGACCGCCTCGCCGGGGTCCTCGGCCACGAAGCGGAGGGTTCCCTCCGGCAGCCGCTGCCGCACGTTTGGCACACCCGCCGCGTCAATCTCGGCGACGAGGGCGTCGTCCACGGCGTGGAGCCGCAGCGGAGCGGCGGCGAGCCAGCGGCCGATCGGCGCCTCCCCCGCCGCGACCTCCAGCGAACGGGGCGGGTGGACCTTCAGCCGGCGCAGGCTCATCGCCAGCGTGACGTGCACGCGCTCCGGCAGCGTCGAGAGGCGGCGCAGCACCACCGCGGCGCGGGAGCGCAGCTCCACGACCACCGCCCCCGACGCCTCCTCCGCGCCGGCGAGGACGCGGGCCACCGCCGCGTCGAGGCTCTCCGGCTGCACCAACGCCGTCGAGTTCACTTCAACCCGCACCACCCACGTCAGATCCGCCACGCCGCGCTTGCGCATTTGCAGCAGCCCGCTCGTGCCGCCACGGGCGGCGCTGGCACGGATGTGGCACTGCCCCGCCCCGCGCTCCGTGCATTCAAAGCGCCCCTCGCGAAGATCTTGTCCTCGCACCGGCTCCCACGTGGTCCCGTGGAACCGCACGGAAACTTGCAGAGAGGCGCGCGCCGCCGCCACCACAGTTTGCAGGGCCAGTGCCTCCACCGCGATGTCGTCGTGACACGCCGTCAGCGGAGAAGTGGAGGGCTGCAACAAAATGCCCTGCAACGCCCACACCTCATGCGTCTCCAGTAACACCGGGTCACAGAGCCCGTCCACGTCGCGTGCGTAGAAGGAGATGTTGTTGAGGCCCACAAAAACAGGGAATGCTGCGGCGTCCTCAGTGTACGGGTTGTGCGGCGCCCGCCGCCGCGTCTGCGGCAGCGGTTGATCCTCGAGCGGGGCATTCTCCCAGTACCCAACGTAGTCTACTGGCGGGTGCTGAGGCAACAATGCCGCTCGCAGCTTGGCGTAGCTGCGTGTGCGCTGCGAGACGCGCAGTCGCCTCTCAAAGCCAAAGTGTATCTGTGGCGCCACCCGCTCCACCGCCCAGGGCCTGTCGAACGGCAGGCGCAGGAGAAAAAAGTGCGAGCTTGTTCGCACGGCGGCCCCGCGCGACACCGTGACCTTGACCTCGTACCTGCGGTGGGGAAGCAGCGCGGCGTAGCTGCTGTTGGCGTGGTGCCGCAGCAGCCCGCCGGCGCCGTCCGTCAGCGTCGGCACGTGGAACGACTCCGCGAGGGCCACCTCCCCGCTGGCTGCGTCCGTCACCGCCCAGTGAACCTCCGTCGCCGGCAGCAGTGCGGGCGAGACGGCAAACGAGGCGGCCCACGCCCTTCCCCGCAGCTCTATAACGTCCCTCCCAAGCGGCCGCGGTGGCAGACCGCAGAGCGGGCCCGCGCCGAGTATCGTCACCGGTGGCAGCGCGTCGGGCCGCACCTGCAGCATCGGCATCACCAGCAGGGTGTGTGGGCACTTGCACTTGATCGCCACGTTCGCAACCCTTGAGGTGAATGTCGGCGGGGCGGCGGGG